TGACTGACTGACTGACTGACTGTTTGACTGATTCGTGTGAATTCGCCAGCCATCACAATAGTGTGAAGTGAAACTTCACACTAAAAATGTAGAAAATATAGCCTTCCAAAGTTTGCAAATTTTGTATACTTTTGTATTGCAATTTTCGCATGCAATACAAAGATATACAAAATTTGCAAACTTTGCAAGGCTATATTTTCCGTATTTTACAACATTTCGCAACCAAACTTTGTAATAATTTACTTATTTTAGTATGCTCTTTCTAGCTGTGGTGATCTATTTGCATCAAGGCTGGATTTTGAGGGGAGGTGTGGAGAGATGCGCACCTCCCTTGAGATCGTTTTGCACCTCCCCTGAGAATTTTTGCACCTCCTGAAAGGTCATGCATCTCCCCTTGGGAAAGTTTCATTGATGGAACAAAGTGAAAATGTGATGGTTGCTTAGGATCTACACTTCGTGACGTAAGAAAGTTTTCTCTGAAAAATTGAAACAGTGATAACCATTCATCTCTGTGTCAAGTACCCTTTTAATGCAATGTTTTGAAAGAAACTTTGTAGCAATTGGAGTCATACAGTCATAATTCATTAATACACTGGTACATATGTACACTACATGCATACCTCACCACGTTGATATTGGCCTGTTCTACAATAAGCCCTAACTTTCCATGGAGGTTGCGAGCTAGACCTCCCCTAAATTTTTTTCCCACCTCCCCCACTATTTTCACCAAAATCCGGCCTTGATTTGCATCTCTTTGCCTAGTTCTAAAATTAGTCTATAATGGGAATTGTCTATTTACATGAACATAAGAGACTTTTTATTTGGCTTCCATTTATGAATATTAAAGGTCTATAAACATTGTTATTTGTTGTTAAGTTGTTTTGTGATACATTTTTAAAACTACTAATGTTTTTTCAAATTGGTAAATCTTTTCAATCAATTCCCTCTATTATATATATATATATATATATATATATATATATATATATATATATATATATATATATATATATATATATATATATATATATATATATATACACACATATATTGCATTTCAGACACACAGAATAGATTTCCATGTCCTTGCAGGATCATCCGAATCGAAAATTGTTTGAGATGCTGTTTAATTTGTTTAGGGGCATATTGGGGTAAAAATAAATGAATTAATAAAACATTTTCCCTTGTGCTTGCTTGCAGGTACGGAGATTTAGTCTCCGTTGTATAAGAGTACTTTTTGAGGGGGGACATAGGACATGGTATCATGCATATCATAAGTAAAAGAGATGTTCCTCTTAGAGACGGGTCCATAAGGAGAGGTACCATTGTACATGGGTGTGATATGACAAACTAGAATATGTTCATATTTGTGGAGGGGTTTCGCCCCTTGAAAACTATACACCAAAAAAGTTAACGCATGCAAATGCCCCCCCAGTCCCCCCTTGTGTCCCCTCCCCCCATGAAATCACATTTTGCCCCCCCCCCAGCGAAGAATGACAAATAGACCAGCAAAACCAGCGAAGAATAACAAATAAATAACAAATAGATAAACGGAAGTAAGTTTTAGGCTTTATCCTTTGTCCTTGTTTAACAAAATCGATTAAAGGAGCTGCGTCACCGCGTTTTTTCCTTCTTTTACTTCAAATACAATTATAGTTAGCATAAATTTTAGAGCAAATTTGGATGCTCATGAATGCAGGAAATGACATTTCCGGGCTTTTCCAGGCAGGAAATGACATTTCCGGGCTTGAAACACGTGGCCTTCGGCCATTGCTATCCACCTCTAATACAGTATATTATCTCACATAAAGGTCCCTTTTCAAATAATGCCCCCTCCCCCCAAGGGAAAATCCTTAGGGAAGGCCCTGTGTCACTACAACGTTGCATTGCAAGAGATGAGATAACAAGTTATTTATTTATTTACTTTGCCATCATACTTATACATTCATTGGCTGGGAAACCACAACAGCTATTGCCAATTACAGCGGCCCCAATAGTTATACAGAAACAATTTACAAGGTATACTAAACACACACAACAGACAATACTTGAACAACAGTCATTACATTTGTCTAAAAGCAGCATGTCAATGGAGAGTTCATTAAACTTCGAGCGGAATTACATTTTATACACAAGTTGTTAAAAACAACTTGTGACGGGTCTGTTAAAACAACTTGTGACGGGTCTGTTGAATTAAACAACCCTGTAGCAAGTTTTTAACAACCGCTGACAACTTGTTGGAATAGCATTAGTACAAGTGTGCTGCGCAGGTTTGTAACAAATTGTAGATTTTTACGTGTGCAAATGACATTTCACAAATCAGTCCTAAACAGTTTTAATATCAAGGTATAAGAAACCACCTAAAAATGTCTATTTATGTCTACCTAAAATATGTTTATTATTTGTCTTATTCTGATTTTTTAAGTTCATTCATTATACTGCATGCATGCATGTTCAATCAAGCATTCAAGGTTTAACAATATGATGAAATGTGTCTGACAGATGTATATATCATCTTAAACCGGACTTGGCCTTCCTGATAGCTTCATTTTCTTTTTAGAAGCATCTAATTTGTTAGTAAGCTTTTCTTTGAAACCTTCAGCAGCAGTTGGTAGCATCTTGATATCGCTTGTACAAACCTTCACAGTTTCCCTGAATTCGGGCGGAATATCAACTGGCGGCATTTCTCTCCATGTGATCGACTTGCCACATCCTTTATTGGGCTTTGTACTCTTCTCGGATTTCACACTTTTATCGCCGCTCTTGGCGATATTAAGCTTGTTACCAACCCAACTGAATGCGAACGTTGCTAGGACTGCAAACGAGGAGTCCCTGATGTCGTTGACAGAGCTGGGCTGTCTTCCACATTCTGTACTTCCATCACAACCTTCAACTCTGGTCCAAATCAAACCGCAGTGTGGACACTTTCGCAATTCAGAAACACCATGCTCATTCTGGAATCCAGTGCATTCTGTTCTGATATCGTAAAGCACCACGCGAAGTTGATTCACCATGTTGGCAACATGACCAGCTTCATTTGCTGCACCATCTCCATCAAAAGTGAAGTTGTTTACATCAGACATTCTTTTCTGGGCTTCAACAATTTCTTCGGTCATGTAAGCCTGGAACTCGAAAACAAGGTCAACCAAATCCTTTCCTATTAAAGATTAATAGAAATTTCATAATAATTTTGACACTGCTGAGAACAACTCCGACCCTGTATATATATATATATATATATATATATATATATATATATATATATATATATATATATATATATATATATATATATATATATATATATATATATATTTAATAGATTTGAAGATTTGTAATCCAGGCATTTTATTAAATTATAATTTTTACAAAATTATACAGTGTTCTCCAGATTGTAATTACTTGTTCTGAGCTTTCGACTCGGTACTCCGAGTCTTCATCGGAAAGTTTGATCATTTGAATTCTGGCGCTGTGGTTGACGCTATTGAAGTTTGTGGGAACGTCTGATTGGTTGATGGATTTGAATATGTTGGTTGCCATTGGTTACTACGGAGTGCGGGTGATCATTGTTATCATGAGACGGTATAGGGAAGGAAGTTGAGGGTGGGTTAAAGGTTAATGAAGATGAATTAGGAGATTTATGCGAGCGTTTCAGTTGTAAGTAAATTGTAAGGATGTCAATGTCACGGTTAAATGTTTGTTTGTCTAAACTATACCACGCTTCTTTAAACTCACAGGCATGTTTAGTAGTTGCTTGTCCTAGGCATCTCGTTTGAGACCAGTCGAATTTATGTCCGTTCTCACCTGTGTGTTTAGCTGGAAGTGAGCTATGGTCGTGTCTGTTGATTGCGTTCTGTTGTTCTGTTAGTCTTGTCTGAATCTTTTTTGATGTTTGTCCAATGTACTTATCAGGACAGTTTTTGCACGGGAAGGTACAAATAGCGTTAGGTTTTTCCGTTCTACGTGTCTTGTCTTTGTGTTTAGTGAAGTTGGACCTAAGTTTGCATGTTGGTTTGTGTGCCACGTCAATGTTGAACGGGCGGACGAGTCTAGCTGCCATTTCTGATGTAGCGTGTATTACGGAAGTGTAATTCTCGTTTTTGTTTGGTTAAGTCGGTCCGTGTTAGTTTGTTGTTTATGTTGTAGCACCTTATTAATGAAATCTAAAGTGTAATCATTTTTGTAGAAAGTAGAGTATAAATACTTGCGTTCGTCTTGTTTGGATTGATCAGTGTTACAATGTGTGTCAATTCTGTTGAATAATGTCTATATGCAACTGTCTTTGTGTTGTGTTGTGTTGTGTTGTGTTGTGTTGTGTTGTGTTGTGTTGTGTTGTGTTGTGTAGGATGATTGCTATTGTAATTTAAAATTTGATCTGTGTGTGTTTTCTTGCGATAAACTTGTGTGGTTAAAGTGCCGTTGTCTGTTTTTGTTATTAGGACGTCCAAAAAAGCGAGTTTGTTGTCATGTTCTTCCTCTTTGGTAATTTTGATGTTCTTAGTGGTGTTGTTAATTGTTAGTAGGATGTCGTCTGTTTTGTCCTTTTTGACAGTAGCAACTACATCGTCTACATACCTGTCCCATGTTTTAATGTCGTCATTGTTTGTAACAGCTAAAAACTACTTGCTAAATTACTACTTACTCTGTGAAAAACTACTTAGCTACTAACAATACTTCGTGGCAAACAAAGACAGAACTTAATATACAAGACATTCTTGATTTACTTGTCCTATGCCTTTCTACTGAATTCTGCTTCCAGAACAATTACTACCGACAAATCTCTGGCATTCCTATGTGGTCGCCACTTTCCAGTTTCCTTGCTGAGGCAGTGATGCAAGATCTGGAAAATAAAGCTGTTACCAACAATGACGACATTAAAACATGGGACAGGTATGTAGACGATGTACTTGATACTGTCAAAAAGGACAAAACAGACGACACCCTACTAACAATTAACAACACCACTAAGAACATCAAATTTACGAAAGAGGAAGAACATGACAACAAACTTACTTTTTTGGACATCCTAATAACAAAAACAGTCAACGGCACTTTAACCACACAAGTTTATCGCAAGAAAACACACACGGATCAAATTTTAAATTACAATAGCAATCACCCAACACAACACAAAGTCAGTTGCATAAAGACATTATTCAACAGAATTGACACACATTGTAACACTGATCAATCCAAAGAAGACGAACGCAAGTATTTATACTCTACTTTCTACAAAAATGACTACCCTTTAGATTTCATTAATAAGGTGCTACAACATAACCAAACACAAACGAGAATTACTGTTCCTTACATGCACACTACATCAGAAATGGCAGCTAGACTCCTCCGACCTTTCAACATTGACGTTGCACACAAACCAACATGCAAACTTAGGTCCAACTTCACTAAACACAAAGACAAGACACATATAACAGAAAAACAAACGCCATTTATACTTTCCCGTGCAAAAACTGTCCTGGTAAGTATATTGGACAAACATCTAAAAAGATTCAGACAAGACTAACAGTATACCAGAACCCAATCAACAGACACGACGATAGCTCACTTCCAGCTAAACACACAGACGACAACGGACATAAATTCGACTGATCTCAAACGAGATGCCTAGGACAAGCAACTACTCAACATGCCCGTGAGTTTAAAGAAGCGTGGCATAGTTTAGACAAACAAACATTTAACCGTCACATTGACATCCCTACAATTTACTTACAACTGAAACGCTCACACAAATCTCCTAATTCATCTTCATTAACCTTTAACCCACCCTCAAGTTCCTTCCCTAAAACGTCTCATGATAACAATAATCACCAGCATTCGTTAGTAACCAATGGCAACCAACATACTGAAATCCATCAACCAATCAGACGTTCCCACAGACTTCAACAGCGTCAACAATAGCGCAAAAATTCAAATGATCAAACTTTCTGATGAAGACTCGAAGTACCGAGTCGAAAGCTCAAAACAAATAATTACAATCCGGAGAACACTGTATAATTTTTTAAAAATTATAATTATATATATATATATATATATATATATATATATATATATATATATATATTTATATTTCCTTTATTAAATATACTTTTAAAAACATTAATAGAAAAGATAAATTTATGGATTTTAATTGCTTTCATTCAAATATTAATTCCACCTTAATATACGTTCGTGTAAAGAATAATTATAATAGCATAGCGAAGTAAACAAGTATATCGCTGTCAAAACAAGCGTATATAATTCAAAAAGTATATAATTCACTCAACAACGTACATGCATGCTTGCATGCAAAGAAAGCACTGTTTTAAAAAGTTTGTGAAGGTTTAAACATGATTAAAATCTATAGTAAACATGATTAAAAACGTCGCGAGGAAATATTTAATTAAAATTAAAATATCTTACCTTAGTAAACAGTCAAACAGATGCAACTTGTGCTATAATTATGCTTTGTGCTTTAGGTCTTCGCTTTCGAAGTTAGCAATAAAGCTCAGTTTGGGATGATTTGAATATCACGTTAAATGACAAATTGCAAAAATTGCAAAAGAGGGCAGTGAGGGTCATCACTAAATCTCAATATGATGCTAGTTCCAGCGACCTTATTAGTAAGCTGGGCTGAGATAATCTTTTAACATGTCGGAAAAAGCATAAGGCTATACTAATGTTTAAAACAATTAACGATCTAACTCCGTTTTATCTACATGAATTGTTTGAATTTTGCAGCACAGGATATAATTTAAGAAACTCTGAACACACCTTATTTGTACCAAAACCAAGAACGAACTACGGTAAGCGAGGTTTCTTTTATGGAATGAGTTACCACAAAATGTACGAACAACATGCTCCCCAAATCAATTCAAAAGAGCAATTCACAATCTGTTCTCTATATGAGATGGACTCCCGCACGGCAATCTTGTAAATCAGTATTTTAGTGTTCGGATAAGTTTAAAGTGTATATTAATTGTCATAGCGTAATTGTAATTATATGTTAGTTAATTATCTTGTAAAATGTTATACTGTAGATTTCACCGTGTTTAAATAAAGTTTTTGATTGATTGATTGATTGATTGATTAATTGATTGATTGATTGGTTGAACAGATATACATCAGATTAGTAATTTGATTTCCTCATAGAAGGCTTTCGTCGTTCCTCAATATCGATCAGATATGTTGCACCGTTCCATATAGCCTACAACTACACGCAGTGTATACCAGCGGCTATATACTGTAGGTAAAGCGTCATTTAGCTGGATTAAAGGCTGTAGGACTTCAAATACTGTCAAACATATATACCGTTATAAAACAAATTATTTCTTAGTAAAGTATTCTTACCTTATTTCACAATACTGTGTTTTGACTTGTCCTTATACTAACTTCCGTGTATGTATATTATCAAGACCATCAGCAAAGGAATGTCGCATAAGTGCATGGGACCTTGGCCGTACTACATGTGTGGTTATTATAATTATCCTTTAAGTTTCCTGGTGATTTTAAGCGGTTCCTTCACTCCAAACCAAATGATCAACATGCACACAGGCATTTGACTTTTTGCATTTCGTATAAACAAATAAGTTTTAAAAAACTCGGCACTGTCAATGACGATAGATGATACTTTGTTATTGAGTTTTTGAATAATTATATAGTGCCATGTGAGTTCAGTTTGTGTGCTATTGTGTATAAAGGTCATTGGTAACTAATTAGTAACGCTTGATACTCTTTAGGATCATGTGGAATGTAATTAGCACTTAAAACGTTGCATGCAGTGTTTAAAAACAGCATGTCTCGACTGAATATACTCATTGTTTACAACACACCGTTGCCGTTCTACTGAAGCTAAGAGCAAGCCCAGAAATCTAGCTAAAGAGTAACGAAGGTAAAGAAGATTTATTTTAAAATAAGTTCGCGAGATAAGACACGTGTTAGCACGGCCACGCGAATGTTGGTGTACCTCGAAATAGATAAAAGCACGTGCATTTTAGGCGCGAATTTGTTAAAATAATTATCGGTGGCAATGTACTGATAGAAGGAGCTGCAGTTATGACAGACTACGAAGGACAGGAATATCAGGCGGACAGGCTACATTAATCAAACTCCATAGTAAGAGTCTTCTCAGTATATTATGAATAGTTTCTTTCTTCTATAATTATATTGTTAATTATATAAATGCATGATATAGCTCGATATAATTGAGGAGTG